ATTTAGGATCAAGTTGAATTGCTTGATTATAGTCATTCAACGCTTTGTCTTTCTCACCAATCTCTTCATATAAAATGCCTACTATATTAAGTGGAATAGAAATAACCTCTGTTTATATAAGTTAAATTATATTTAGGATTTATTTCAATGGCTTTTTTGAAATCTCTAATTGCATAATCAGTCAATTTTTCATTCATATAATACTAACCTAATATGATAATTATGATTTTACCTCTACACATAAATGCATAATAACAATTCCTATCTTTTTCTATAGCATCATTGTAATATTTTAGTTCATTATCCTTTTGCTTCAATTCACTCAAAATAGTGCCTGAAGATTTATGGTTATTTTATTACCCATTCTACAATAGCCCATTGAAAAGTCTTTATTAATTTCCACACATTTCATACAATCTTATATTGCTTGATCATATAATTATTTTCTCCAATAAATTGTTGCTTAAGCTATAAGATTTAATAAATACCTCTTTAATAATAACTTTCTGGATCATTATTGTTTATGGATATGCTTTAATTGGCATCTTCCAATGCCTTATCATATAATTTCATTTTTTCGTATAATTCACCTATATTGATATTTAAAACATTGAACTTCTTAAAGTGTAGGCTTTGGCAAATTTAGGATGAAGATTCAAAGCATTATTTATTTCTAATAATGCTTCTTCAGTTCTATAAGTAATTTTTAATTCCTAAAAACGATTCCACTAAATAATTGTACCTAGCTTTTATTATAATGCTCTAACGCACCAGCATTCTCGTTTTCCTTTTAACTTTTATCGATCATTATTGATTTTAGAGATGTATCCAAATTTTTTTTATAAATAAATAATAACATTTAGGGATTCCTCACCTAACTTAATATCAAAGTTCCAATGAAAAAAAATAAATATTTTACATTTATAATATTTGAAAGGCCCAATAGAAATATATTTTGGATTGTTTCGATCTAATTTTCAAGCATTGGATGTTTTTTTTGTATTCTTCTGAATTCTTATTATTAGAGGCTATATAAAATAAATGAATAACTAATATCTAATTAATTAATAGAGGATTACTCAAAAAATTTAAACAAATGAGTGTATATTTAGATGATGAATTACAAATAGGTTTAATGTTTTTTATTTCCTTGTTCAAGAGACATAATTCAGTTCTTTTTCCAGTTTTTCCTTAAAATTTTTGCCAGTGAGTTTTTAATTTTGGATTATAATATTTCTGATCATAATATTTTTATACATAAAATAGAAGACTAAATTTGTGTATATTCATTCAGAGGTTTCTTAAATTAATTAGTATTATAAAATAAAATTAAATGGAATTCTGATTTATTTCTAATGAAAACCTTCTTGCTTATTTTTCCTTTCAGAAAATATTTATTCAAATCAATGGAATTATGGTTCAAGAAGTGCACTAGACCCAACCATACTCCGTTTGAAGATATGAGGAAACTTTTTTAAATGTTGGAGGTATAGTGCCACATTGATTTTAAGAACTTAATGTTGAAAAAAAAGATGCAGCATTAAAGAGAATTATGATTAAGAAATAATTTTTGAGATATTAAAATTATTTTAGATAGGAAAATTAAATATCTAAATTACACAAAATATATTGGAAGTTACTTTAACTCTAAATCATGTATTTAACCTGAATTTTTCTAATTAAGGACTGAAAAATATTTATCACCCATAATTATTAAAGTAAATGAAAAATGAAATGCATTCTTGAATATTTGATGAATTCTAATTGTTTAATCATGAACATACATTGAAATAATAATAGATATCATTTATTGAAGGTCTGTTGTTACCATTTTTAATATCAGCCATGAAAGATAAATATTGTTTAATAAGGTATAATGTATTTTTAAAATCTTTAATAATAATCTACTATTATCATATATAATTGTATGTCCTTTTTAATTTCCACAATTATATTTTTTAGTAACTTTTCCCTTAAATCAATACTTAAGTATGGAAATATTATTTTTTTTCAACTTGATATTTTATCTGATGCATTGATATTAAACTACTTCCACTGTCTCTCTAAGAAATTTCAAAAATTTATAAAATATTATATCATCTTATCTGCTTTGACTGATAGTTAATAATTAACTTTGAGTTACTTCTATCATTTTCTCCCATAACTCAAGTCTTTAGAACCTTGGCTATAAATGAATATAAGAAATTCTAACTTAATATATAATACAAACTAAGATGATTCCAATCTACTTTGTATTTATCTATTTAGTTTTCATTAAATTATTGCTTATTTCCTCAGGTTTAACTCATTTTAATGAATCTAATCTAGAATTTATAATTCAAAGTAAGCAAGTTTTTAGGCTGTATATCCAATTGCAGAAATTTCTCCTTCTTTATTTTTATTCAACTCATTTCTAAATTTACTTATTAGATTCATAATCATGTTATTATGAAATTTATGGATTCAATTAAACTTCAAATTCTTAAAAGTTTTAAATAATTTTGCAATTAATATAAACTAGTTAATTGTATTTTTTTTTTCTCATAATGTAGATATTAGTATTATTGTTAACTGTTGAAATTAATTGGCTATTTCTCTTAAATTACCTTAAATTTTTTTATTTTTACCTAAATTAACTATTCTATTAGAATCTAAATTATTGCTTAAATGTTTTCTATTTAATAATTATAAAATACAACATTTTTGGTAAATTAATAATCAGCTTTAACTAATTCTCTTTGAATTATATTTCATCAATTATTTGCTAAAATAAATATTTTCAAATTTACAGATTGAATTAATTTTTTGCTCATTCTAACTTTTATTTTAGCTTACATCCTTAAAATATATCCTTACTAAATTCATAATTTATTTTTTTGTTTTACATAAGATGAATTATCTCTAATATCATCTTTTTAATTTAAAGATTTATATGAACAGTCATATTGAATCATTAATGGATTTAAAAGTAACTGATAAAACTTCATAATTTAATCTATTAATTTATTTTTGATTATCTGAAGTCTTTTAACTTAGTCAATTTTATTCTTAGTTTATTAATAATTATATTAAAAATAAATATTCTTGCATATTACAAAATGTAAATTAGAATAATCATAATTTTCAACACTTTCTTATTTATTTTTCCTTTGATCCACTATCCCAAGTGATTAAATACTCTCCGTCATCACATAATTATCCAAAAATACCATGATTATTAAACTCAATAGATTATTAAACTATTAAGTCATCATTTTCTATCTTCCTCATTAGGTTAATATAATTGCCATTCTTATCACTAAGAGTCCTTTTGACTTAAAGTATTATTATGGAAATAGCCAAAAATCAAAGCATGAACCACAATTTAAAGCAATTTCCTTAATCTTATATATTTTTTAGTATTCCTATCCATCTCAAATACATACATCTATTATTTACTAGAGGGTTAAAATGTATAATAATTATCATTAATAAAACATAATCTTGATCCCAATTAATCTACTATTATATTTTATGTAACATTCCATTTTTTTATCCAAATTTTACTACTCTATAACTAATATTTATGAATCATCTGAACATGAAATCAATTTATTTTATTGTTCATTTTTTAAGCTTAATGATTATCCAATATTAATATAATCAGTTATTATTTATTAACATACCATTAATCCTTAGATCATCAGGATTATTTAATAATAAACTATTTATAGCATCTGAATGGCCATTCAATTTTTATTAAAATTTTCATTAATTATTTCCAATCACTTGCCATATTATTATTGGACTATCATCACTTCCAGATACCAAATTATTTGTATTTTTTCATAACATTTAAAGTATGTACATAATCAGTATGCTCACTTAACAATTATACTTAATTCAGTTTCCCTTATATATATTGAAATACTTTAATATCCTTATTACATCCAGCTACCAATATTGAGGAATCTTTGTTAAAAGCAATAGCACCACACCATTCATCTTACTTAATTAAATATTCTTTCATAAGGTCAAATTTGAATGGTTTTATATTTGGTTCTAATATACGTACACATTTTGGCTATTCTCATATTGATTTATCTATATTAAATTATAAAATTAATAAATTATTTTGGACATGTCTATCTATGCAAACACTTATTATTTAATGATTTTTATTATCAGCTTAAGTACAAATTATCTACATTTTCTATTTCTGTTCAATTAAAATTAATAATTAAATATTTAATAATAATTATTATTTAAATATATTACTTAGACTTTTAAGAATCTGAACAACTAAGACTTAGATATTTATTTATTTTTTATTTTGTGATTCAAATCATCTTTCAAAAAAAAGAATTAATATTCCAAATATATGTAAGTTGGCTTTTCTATTAATTAAAAATTTTAGAGTACTACAATGAAAGATTTTTTTTTGAAATCTTATATACATTTAGACGAAAATGAATATCTAATTATCTTCATTTAAGCCTGGAGAAAAATCAATAAAAATAAATCTCAATTAAAAAAAAATTTTAATAAAATCATTCACATGCTTTACTAATAAGTAATAAAGTTGGTAGATATTCTATAATTTAGTAGAATTTTAAAAAATTAGAAATTCCCAAAAACTCAAAAGTGTGAATTTTTTAACTCTATATTCTATACCTAAAAATTTGACTTAAACTTTTGTAATATGGTTGATGATGCAAGATGCTGTTTCCACAAAAATAATTTGAGTTTTAATCCTTTATAACCTAAATCCATCAAAATTTATAGATTTAAATTTTCTAGGTCCTTCTTTCAACTTATCTAATACTCCCTATAATATATTCTTTGGTTATTTGGCTAATACTTTTATTAATATCAAATCACTATAATAGTAATACTAATTTTTGGATGAAAAATCAGGATACTGAAAGTTATGACTTTTTAATTTATTTGTTTCAGGAGAAATCTAAAAATGTTCAGGAAATAGATTACTAATTTTAGTTAAATCATTGAGAAATTAAATCTTTTTAGTTTTCTTTAAGTGATGTAAAAGGTATAACTGTAAATAAATTTATAATTAAAATGAAAAAACCTTATGACTAATGAAAAGAGAATACTTCAATTAAAGATATCTCTTCAATAACAGTATATATGATGAAACTCAAGAGACTATTGAAACCTAAAAAATTATTAGAATATTAGAAGTAAAAATTTATTAAATTTGCGAAAATCTATTATTATAAATGAGCATAAACCATAAGTGTAAGGATTAAAAAATGTTGAAGTAGAAGTTTTCTAGAAATTATCTAATGTGTACAATATGGTACTAAGAGATAAGAAGTTTGAGTCGCTCAGATAATCTCAAAATATCTTCATTATGTGTAAAGTATATGCTTTAGAATGGAAATACGAGCAGTTGTATATCGAATATCTTGCACTAAAGAAGAAGGAACATTTTGTAGATGGAGTTCAAAAGGCTCATTACTCAATCTACTCTTGTTTGGCATCGACTTCGATCTAATTATTGACAAAATTCATCGATTGAGAAAGCAAAAATAATAGTTATCAGATTATAAGGAATCAAAGATACTTTGTTTTCTGAAGTTATTAAAAATACTAGTATTTTTTTAATTAAATTTTATGGCTATTACAGCGTTTGATAAAAATACAATTTGGACAAGAGAAAGTTTTTGGTTTTTGTTTAAGCTTTTTGTCTAAGGTTAATATAAAAAGATCAAATTACATATCAATCCTCTGAATTATTAGCTGATATTTGAAGATTTGGTGTTAAGAAAGCGAAAAATTTTTGATATCTTGTGATTTATATGTTTTCAAGAGGGGAAATTACTTAAAATAAAACTAGCTAAACCTTAATTGACTTTTTTTTAAATATAATGAATTGTTGCCTTTGACTCATATCATTTAGTTATGGCCTCTTTTATAAAACCTCATTTTGATTAAGTAGCTCCTTTGATGAAGAAATATTATTTTAAGGAATAGGAGATATATGGCAATAGTTCTATATCTATCCGATAGATTCTCAAATTGACCAAATCTATAAGCCAATAGAGGTATTGATAGATTTTTTAGATCTTTAGGGTTTAGGCCTACAGTCATTATGGTATCAATTTAAGAATATATAGGAGGAAGCTACAGGTTTAAAGATTAATTGAAAGGTCTATTCTTGAGAGAGAGTAAAACTATCTAGATTATAGAACAAGAGAAATATGATTTAGAGATGATATTAGTAAACTCGATTTACTTCCTAATTTCTCTCAAATATCTTTCTAATTTTGATCATCTTTATAGACATAAATTTAGATGGAGAGTTATCATTTGAATATATTTAAAAACATGCTCAAGCTGTTTTTACACTTTCTGAAGCTCAATAACTATGTGAATCAGGAAGCCATTTAGGAAATACTGAATTATAGTTTTCCACTTTTTAAGAATTTCCAGCTTCAAAATTTGCCAATGGTTGTTTTTGGGTAGACCTCTAGTTGTAATTAGTGCCTGATTATGATATATAATAGAATGTTATTTTTAATTTAACTTTTTGATTCTAGTAAATCGAAGAAGCTAGAGAGATCATCTTATTGATTAATCAGAAAGTTCTAAAAAATAGTATATTCATTGTCTTATAAAATATATAATTTGAGATTCTAGATTAAGTTGACTAATAAATGCATGAAATTGTTCTTAAATGCTTCAATAAACCTAGAAGTTTAAAATAATTAATTATGTTAGTGTTCATT